TCTATTGATCAAGTACAATCTTTTCCATGGAAGACTGGGCCTTCTGGTAAGCTTTGTACTTAATCTCAAGAGGCTCAATTTCCCTTATTCTCTTGAGAAGAGAAGCATTTCCAGCTTCCAGCTGATCTCTCTCTTTAATTAGAAGATTGATTTTGATCTCAACCTCCTTTCTTAAGTCAAGAATCTCAACCTTCAGCCTACTATTTTCTTCTGTAACAGAGGAATAAGTGGCTTGGATGGCCTTAAACTCTTCCCAAAATTCTGACATTGAATCAGAATCAAAAGCTAAGCCTAGCGAAGAAAAACTAGATGTAGAAGTAGAGGTTACCTCATCATGAGAATGAGCCATGAGGCATAGGTCTTCTGTCTCGGTATCAAGGCAATAGAAGGTCTCATCAGAATCAGAGTCAGAACTAGATTCTGTCTCAGAAAGGGGGTCTTTCTCAAGTTGTTCTGTGACGAGTGCTTTCCTCCTTATGGTATTGTCTTCAAATTTCTTCTTTTCTCCATCATGCCCTTGTCTCTTGGACACTCTTGGATGTGGACAATCTGCCTTGAAATGTCCAGGTTGTCTGCAATTGTAACAGAGAAGCTCACCACGCTCTCTGTTGCTTTGGGTTTCAGGAATGGCTTTCTACTGGAAGATGGACTTCTTCCATCTTTGGGATTCTTCCTAAACTTCTTGAATCTCCTAGCAAAAGCAGCCATATATTCGTCAGATAAAAGGATTGAAGGGTCAAAATCATTTACCTTGGATGTACTAGCTGTGAGGGCTGTAGTTGTCCTTTCTTCTTGTACATCCTCCTTCTCTTCAATCATTCGAACTCATGAGCTTTGAGATCTGAGATGAGCTTATGAATGGGGTAGGTCTTCACATCCTTGCTGGCTTGGACAGCAACCACTTTCATCTTCCATGCTGAGGGCAATCCCTTCAACACTTTGAGGTTGATCTCTTTGGTGGTAAGTTCCTTGCCAAGCTCAGAGATCTCTCCAGTGAGAGTGAGGAGTCTGTCATACATCTTGGAGATGCTTTCACCAGGGAGAAGCTTGAAATCATCAAACTTCTTGTTGGCAATGGTCAGCTTGTTGTCCTTCTCTTGCTCATCACCAGCTCCAATGAGCTCAAGAGTATCCCAGATCTCCTTGGCAGTCTTGCAGTTCTTTATTCTGTTGAAGTATCTGTCATCTATGGACTTGTAGAGAATGTCTTTTGCAATGTTGTCCAGATTATACTTCCTTCTTTCTTCAGTAGTCCACTCAGATTTGGCTTTATTGATCATCCGAGGTCTGGTGTTATCTATAGCATGCTCAGGGTTGACCTTCTGGAAGCTTGTGAATGGCCCGATGTCCAATACTTCCCACATCTCATCATGAAGAGCACAGAGATGTGCCTTCATCCGGATTCTCCAGTCATCAAACTTAAGATCTGAGAACATAAGATTCTTGGAAAGAGAGTGATCCATAATATGAGATTAAAACAGAGGCAAAAAGAAAACAAGTGGATCTTTGTTCAGCAAATAACCTAAGAGATTATTAGAACAAGGAGGCTCTGATACCACTTGTTGGTCCCGATTATACTGGGTACAGTCTAGAGGGGGGTGAATAGACTGTACTGGTTTTTAACTTTTTAAGCTAAGTACCATCAGATTTAACAGAATAGCCTGTTTTGTTGACAGAACAGACTGGCAGCGGATGGGGTTCCGGTAGGGGTTCTGTCAGATTAGCCTCAGAGAAGCAAAGACAGTAGGCCTTCTGTTAACTCACAAGACACGTTATGCTGAACACAGAGACCAAGTCTTTGGAGTAAATCAGTTCTAACTAAGTGCGATAAATAAATGCAATAAGTAAATGACATCAGGGATTTTTATAGTGGTTCAAGGAACAACTCGTTCCTCTAATCCACTGTTCCACTAAGCTTGTAAAAACGTACGTTTACAACGCCTTAGTCCTAGCACTTAAGAAGCTATCCACGTCTTCTTCAAGTCTAGATGTCTCCTGGGATGAACTTCCTGGATTCCTTTAAGACTGGTCCTTTCGCTGAGCTTCCCGGAAGTATCACCACTTCACTGCTCCAGTTACTTGGACGTCCTTCTCGTTGGAGAAGAGTTCTTGTGAGAACAGGGGTTTCCAACTAGCTTCATTACAAAGTATTTGTAGTTGAAGAGTTTGAAGTGTTGAAGAACGAATGGAACTTTGCGCTTGTTGAGAATGTGAAGATATGAGTAGATATTCTTCCCAACGTCTGTCTTCCCTTGTAGAAGATGATGAAATGTTAATCTCAATGAGGCTTTTTGATTTTGAATCCTTGGAGGTTTTGTTTGAGCAAGTGTTGAGCAAAGGGTGTAGCAAAGTTATTTCTCAGTTTTCCGGTTGTTCTTCGTAGAGTATCTTTTATACTTGGATTGTCTTCCTGTTGGAGGAGGAGGACAATGCATTAAATGCGCGAACAGTTGACTCTACCAGTAGGACCTAGGAAAGTTGGCGGGTTACTATTTTGGGATAAAGTTATCCTGAAATAATCTGGAATGTCGGCCAATCATCAGCTTTTACTCTTCAGGGTACGGGGTGCATTAAATGTGCATTTAATGCGCATACTGTAGCTTTTTCGTTGAAGTCTTCTAGCCGTTGAAGGAATCTTCCGTTGGTTTCACCGGTTGAAATAATTTCAAGAAAATTCTCCAAGTGTGAGGCCTTCTGGCGTCTTCAACAGAAAGTCTCTTACAGAAGGTCTTGAGTACTTCTGTTGAAATAAGCTATCAGAGGGTCCTTTAGGTCTTCTCCCAGATGCGAACTAACTGAGAGTCTAGAAGGTTTCTGTTGTAGTGATGTCCAACAGAGAACCAGAGGGTTTCTGTCTGAGTAAGAATCAATCAGAGGACCAAAGGTCTTCTGTCAGGATAAAGCCTATCAGAGGGTCTTCTGTCAGGAGGTCTTCTGTCAGTCGACTAATCTAAGAAACTTTACGAGGAAAATTTCTAATACAATAAATCTAAGAGGGGGTACTCTAAAGTCCTAATAAATATAGCATCATCAAAATCTAATTACAATTATTCCTTACATGGTCTGTTCTATTTAAGTCTGTTTTACTCTTGTCTGATCTGATTTGTTTAAGCCTGGTATGGTCTGATCTGGTCTATGAACAATTTTCATGTTTTTATAGTAGTGAGTTTTACTTTGTAATTTTCACATTTCAGTTACTTAAAATGGGGTTTTACCTTCTTTGCATCTTTATTTAATATACTAGACGAAGTCTCTCTACGATGCACGGGGTATATCTACAATTGAATAATACATACTTCATAATGTGTAATTTGCTAAAAAAATTGATAATGTTTAAAACTGTGACTTTGATTGTATACGTTGTAATAGTTGTGAGAAAATTTGAATCGTATGAAAATTGCAAAAAAAAAAAAACAAAAGTGTGTAACCATATAAGCTCTACGTGAAAAAACAATAACATTTGTGTGACAGTGAATAAATTGATAATAAAATTATTAGTGGGTTTCGTGAAAGTTAATAAAACAAAACAATCATATATGTTGACAGTCTAAAAAAGGTTTCACAAATTTTGAAAAACGTATTTATAGACTACATTTTTGGTGGTGTTTATAGTGCGGCCTTCATCATCTAATATGAGAATCTTCAACCCACTCTTTGAGGTAACCCTTGACATGACAACGTACAATTGACCGTGCGTAAACACGTGTGTTGAAAGATATATGCTCACTTGATGAAGAGATTGTCCTTGACTTTTGTTTATCGTCATGGCAAATTAAACATTGCCTGCGCTGAAATTTGAAAGGAATTCTTCACAATATGCCCACTTTATTGTGGCATGCATTCGGAGTTTAATTTGTACACATTAACAATGACTATATGTTAAAACTTCGAGATCAAAAACATGATTTGAGACTTTAAGATTTGTTGACTATAAATCATTCAATTACGAAGCTAAATTTTTAATCACACTGAAATTATCTTTTGATTTAGAGTAATCTTTTTTCTCTCCAGAAAATTAGAAGAAGAAGAAATAGTCATTATGTTGATATAAATCTGAAATTATTATATTATGGAGATGCATGTACTAAATTAAATTATGTGGGAACTTGACATTCCTCCAAAAAATGAAGTATTTGGCATGGCAGATCCTAGACGGGTCCTTACCCTCTCTCGACAATTTATTCAGGAGGGGAGTAGATCTGCACACGACTTGTAAGCTTTGTGGAGAGGCAACGGATCACGCTATTCGATCCTGTGAGAGAGTCTGGGAAGTGTGGCAAGCGTCAGGAGTTGAGATTGGCTTGCATGTGGACATTGTGGAGACTTGGATACACTCTCAGCTGTAAATTTATTATGCTTTTATTATGGAGTATTTGGAAGAGACAAAATAGTAGTGTGGAAGGAGGAGTGGCAGGGTAAGGCGGCGGTTATTAATATTGCTACAAGCATGTTGGCGGGAGACACACGAGTGGGATAACAAATTAAAGCGAAGAAGAAGGCAGGGGAATCATCAAGATTAATGTCGATGTTGCGGTCAATCAGACGGGAAAAATTGGACTTGGGGCTGGATTGCTAGAGACGAGCACAAGGAGTTCATCAAAGCTGCGGGGGAGTCAACGACAGCGGGCTGGTCCCCAGCTGAAACGGAAGCTATGGGGATTAGGGAGGCTATTGCGGGAGCAACCAGAGAAGGATAGACTGATGTGGGTATCGAATCAGACGCTCAGGTCGTGGTACATGGGATTAAGAAGGGGGGAGAGGGAATTCGTACACAGATTTGATTATAGATGATATTCGGTTAACGATTCAGATAAAGAGTAATTTTAATATCTCTTTTTGGAGGCGGTCTGCAAATCGGGCGGCTCACTCAATTGCTAGGTCACTCGTATCTCTCTCAGATCAGATTGTTGATTATTCTGTTATTCCTGATTTTCTTGTAAACCAGATGACAAAGATTGATTAATGAGAAGGTTGCTATTTTTCCAAAAAAATGATAATTGGTCGGGAGATACAAAAAAAAAACAAATAAAGATGAAACAAGTTTAGTTTTCGATCCTTTCTTATATACGAAGTATATAATCTGCATCTATCTTTATCACGTAGTAATAACATACTTGTATCTATATATAGTTTGAATAAATTTCGTATATACGGACTATAACATAATATGGAATACGTTACGTATATGATCGATGGAGTACTATATGTAATTACAGACGGCGCGGCGGATTATGGACATTTGTGTCGACCGCCGTGGGTTGTCATGTTGGCATAACAAGGGCAGACGTCCTCATTCCCGGCAGTCCCTGGCGGAACACAATTGCACCTCCGGCAGCAAGTATTGCATGCCCTAATGCACATCTTATGCCTCGACGACTTGCTGCAACGATAATTGCATTTTGCCTGGCAATCTGCACCATATATATGCACACCTATTTATAATTAATATTTCAATATACTACCTATGTTCTTAAATAAATGCAATAGTCAACTTTTCACGTTGACGGTGCATAACGAACTTTGATAATTAGTATATTTAATTCTCTTTTAGTAAAAAAATTAAAAAACTCAGATTTTGAAAATTTAGGATGAAACAAATTTAACATTTTTTAAAATAAATTATTAAGACATTATCAAATAAAACGTAGTCAAAGTAGAACATGTAAATAGTGTAAAATTTCATATGTTGCATTTATGGTAGAAAGAAGGTGGTACAAACATACTCATAACGTACATTACATATACGTAGTACTATTTCCGTCCCACTAACATTGAGACATGAAGAGGTGTCATAGTTATTAAGAAAAGTGTTTATATGGTTATGTTGATATTGAATTGATAAAGTAAGAATGATTTAGAACCACATAAATCTTATCAAATTTGATATGATACAATCTTAGTGTGACAGATCGAAAAAAGAAAGATGAAACAATCTTAGCGGGACGGAGAAAGTACTACACTGTTCAGAAATTGTTATTCAATATCTTAATAGATACTCTTCTATTCCGTCCCGCTAAGAATGTCACATCTTTCCTTTTCGATGAATCCGACCAACTAAAGTTGTCTCATACAGTACTAAATTTGGAAAAATTTCTGTGATTCTAAATTAATCTTACTTTATTCTTACTTCATTAATTCAATAGCAACCGGAGAGATTAACTTTTCTTAACACCACTTCACATTCTAATGTCTCAATGTTAGTAGAGCGGAGCTACTACTACTCATTGAAATAAGGAGTATTCCTCAAAGGAGAGGTAAAAAGAGCCCGCTATTTCAAGGTAGCTAGATGTACTATATTTAAAATAAAACATGTGACTCAAGTTACTACCGGGTGCATCTAAGAGTGATATTCCATATTCTTTTAATATATTCAAGAGAGTTTTCTTAAAATATTACTCCTTCCGGTCCCAAATGAAATTCACACTTTGACTTCACACAAATTAAGGAAATAAATTTGACTTTACTGTAGAGTACACTGTTTGGCACTGTTTTGCACTGTTTTGATGTAGATAATTTACCAAATAAGGAAAGGAGAAGAAGTGTGAAGTTTATTTTGGACCTATCCAAAAAAGGAAAGCGTGAATTTCGGACCGGAGGGAGTATTAAAATAAAGATTACGAGTCAACCATTGGGATCTGATTCAACCATTAAAATAATGTAAACTTTAACATCGTCATCACTGAAATTATTAAATCAGTAAAGTATAAAAAATTATACTGTGTCCCCTACATTTATTTTCATCATATATTTTTCATTATTTACTTATGAAAAGTAGTAACTAGTTAGCATTTAATGAAGTAGCGACGACATAATATAAAAATTTGATATATCAAGATTTCTCTGGTACACTCTTCTGTTACCTATAACAGAAGCTTTGAGTTGTTGAGCACTAAGTATCTCCACCTGAAAATGGCAATCAATTAGAATGAAAAAAAAAGAATATGGTACTAAATTATTGCTTATTTGGTTCATTAAGCAATGTCACTTTACTATAGATGTGGTCAGCGTTATTGCTTATGCTCATAATGTTGAAATTATAATTCAAAATGAAGCAAAAGTGCATATATAATTTATTCAAATTAATGTGATTTAGTTGCAAGAAAATATATAGTGATAGAAACCTAGGTTTTAAAATATTTATTTTAGGTGTTATTTTTTGAATTGAAAATTTGGGCTTGAAAAATTAAAAGCATACTACTCCATACTGTCCACCACACTACATTGAAGGTCTAATGAACTCAAAATATGCTAATCCGGTCACTTTGATAAAATAATGCAATGACATTTAGTAAATTAAATAAATCAAACCTTATTACCAATTCACCACAATGCGGTCATTTTGTGAACATGTTTGCACTTTTCATGGATATAGTTAAATGAAAATTACTTACAGAGTATTTTATTATTTGAACTACAAACAGATAAATATTCATGCCCTCATGTATATATTGTGGTATTACATTAGCTTACCTCATGTACCAAGACAATACATAAGATCACCAGCAACAATTTAGTTACCCTTTCTTTGTCCATATATGTAAAGTTTTTTTACCTTCACCTTTTGCTGATGAATGATTGGAAGTTCTAACGTATTGCACACTTTATATATATAGGTCCAGCACCTCCCGGTCCGAATACCGTCCGAACACCGCTGTTTGGGACGGTTCTCGGTGGAATTTTTTGATGAAATTTTTTGAGCATGTTCCTCATCAAGTCTACTTTATCCATACCAAATTTCAGCTCAAAAATCGATCGGGAAGGAAGTCAAATAATTCCTTGAAGTTAACTGCGTTTTTCTATGTATAATTTGGCGCAGTTAACTTCAACGAATTATTTGACTGCCACCCTTATCGAATTTTGAGCTGAAATTTGGTGTGAATAAACTAGACTTGATGAGGAACATGTTCAAAAAATTTCATCAAAAAAATCCGCGGGGAACCACCCCAAACGGCGGTGTTGGACGGTGTTAGGACAGAAAAGTGCTGGACAGGAGAATGACTTTCTTTCTATATATATACTCCCTCCGTCCCTAAATAAAAGCATCTGTTTCCTTTTCGGGCCATCCTTAAATAAAAGTTCCCTTTCCTTTTTTGGCAAACAAAACAGTGCAAAACAGTGCAAAACAGTGCCAAACAGTGTCCAAACAATGCCAAACAGTACCAACCAAACCCACTTTCTTAAGATGTGTGTAAAATGAATGGATACTTTTATATAGGGACGGAGGGAGTATATATATACCAGATATTACATCAAGCTGATTATCAACAACAGATGCTGGATCATGGGTATTAGGTTCATCAATCCTCTTTGCATGATTAGTTATCAACAAGATTCTTGTCATGAGAAAAACATCTATGCAGATATTGCCTGAAATTGTGATTTAATTAGGCAAAACACGATGTACACTTTCTTCAGGAATGACAGGCCTTGCCCAGCGTATTATTTGGGGTGTTAACATATCCAGTCCTGATGACATAAATCTATGCACATACTTTTCAAAAAGAGTTAATTGTCAAAATAGGACTAAAAGTTTCTCACTTTGCACAAATACACTAGTGTAGAAAACACTTTCTATATGGGTTAAAAAGCACTTTTTATGTCGGTTCCCGTAACGACATAGTAGCCAGCGACATAGAAAGTCGGGTTCTTTTCGTGTCGGGTAGTCGGACCCGTTATAAAATGTTTTTTATAACGGTTACGAATTTAACCGTTATCGAATGTTTTTGATGTCAGTCCAGTAATACCCCATATAAAATCCTTTTTATATGGGTTAAACCACCAACCGTTATAGAAAGTCGATTTTTTTATTAAAAAAATAATCGCATTTACTGTCACTTATATATATATATATATATATATATAAGTGATTTTATATTTTAAAATGTAATGTTTTTATTTAAATTTTCTACATAATAAAATTTCTAGTTCATACTAAAAATATGTATTGTCTAGAAATTAAAGAGTAATATGTAAGCAGCCCCTAGGGCCTAGCCCAATTTTGTACATTTATTAATTCAAAACATAAAGAACAATAGGCTCATTTGCACAGCCGAAGTATAGAAATCAAAAGTAAGTAGCATAGCATCGCACATCACAAACAAGCATTTAGTACAATAACTATTTTATTGTAGCAAGATCACTAGCCAACTCCAGATTACTACTAACTTACTATTGACAACTTCAAACAAAGGCATTGTGATTTACTGTTTGTTCATCCACGAGCGGAAATGAGACCAGGACGGCTCTACATGGCATTCTCAACGTCTTACTCTTCCATTGTTCTCCTTTACCCTGTCAAAGCAGATGTTCGTCTCTTATAGACATGCACCTCATGTTCAACTCTACGGAATAGACGCGCAGCAACATCTAAAATTTCTCTTCCTATCTGAAAGACAATTTGAATATTACAAAAAAAATAGTCCTTCCTTTAAATAGTCCCTACATTTCCCAATTTTTGTAATATCTGAAAGACAATTATTGAATACTCTACATACCTAATTTTTGTGAACTTAGGTAGGTCATATTTCATATTTTCTACCCACCCACATTAAAAAATGTATCTTAATAGAAAAAACTAAAAAAACCAGCTTTTTTCAGTCCTAACCAACCACTTGGCACATTCATTCCCAAGATCAAATGTTTTTTCCTCTCAATAAAAAAGGAAATTTCAAGATGTGAAGCTACAAGTCTACAACAGAACCACCGATGAGTATATAAGTATATAACTTCTCAACCCATTATATTAGAGGCTTTCTGACAGCAAGAACAAAATATACTAAAAGTCAAAGCAAGGACCAAACTAGCAGAAAATACCATCCGTATAATTCCATTGGGCCTTTTTAACTTCATTCTCAGTTGATGCGTATGACTCATCTGCATGGCAGTTGCAGCACAGTCATTTTCGCATGCTTCCTCTTCACGTTAATTAAAGATTGTCTGCTATACTTGTGCTTTGAAATTGGAAAAAATTGAAAGCCAGGACATGCATAGGCCTTTTCCCTTGCCTGTCATCACATTTACAGCTTCCTGAAATGCATCAAATTATCTAAACTCCAACTAAAACAATTGATAGAAGGATTTTGGAACGGATCTGAAACTCTGAAAGGAGGGAGCACCACAAAAAAAAACCCAGCTTAATTAGCAATCATAAACTCTGAGACCTAAGCCAAGAATGTGAGAACAATATTACGAAATGTAGTAACAATAAGGGAAATAAATACAAAGATACAACATTTAAGAAAATAGTACAACAAGACAATAAATAATGAAACATAAGTAATGATTAATCACCTCCATCCATGAACCAACAACATTAGCAGAGATGATAGTAGTCTTATGTCCCATAACTTTGTAACCACATTCATAGCTTCCCCTTTGCATTCAACAATTCAAATGGAAAAGCTATATCCACCTTGGGAAAATCTGTAGGGACAGTCAGTAAGTACTTGGATTTCTTGTGCCTTTTTCCTACGCTCCAGTTTTTAAATACACAACACAAAGTATAGTAAATGAAAAATTATAGGGAAAAGAAACATATATACCCCTGCACTATTATGCTAGGAACAAATATACCCACATCCTTTTTTTGGAACAAAAACATGATAAATCTGCAATTAGGACACAAATGTACCCCTCTCCTAATGTTTGACAACTTTCCGTCAGATCTAAAGTTACACCCAAAATTGAATGGGCATCCATTCTATCTTCTCCATCGCAGCAACTAGGGTCAGCTACAGCTCCAGGCTTCTTCACATTTTAGCACCGACGTGATTAAAGCTTCTTCCTTCTTCCTTATATTTTCAATGTCTTCATCTTCCCCGATTCCGTCTAGTAGCTCCTTAAAGCCAGTCACTTTCGAGCTTGACTATGAAGGACGGTGCAAACGATGCTTTGGTGGACAAAAAGCTCCAAGATTCAAATCAGAAACTAAAAGAAGCACTTTATAAAGAATGTTATAACAAATAAAACAGAAACTAAAAGAAAGAACTAAATAAAAAATTTGAACATCCGCACCCGGTTTTTATTTGGACATCTTGTGTTGTTATGTCCAATAGCACTACACGAAGTACAAGCTAGTATTCTGCCTTTTTTGGTTATCTTTGTTGAAGAATATGCATTTGGCTCGCTTCTTTGTCTCATCCTTTTCTGTTTCGGACATCTTTTGGTTTTTATTTGGACATCTTTTCTGGTTACACAACAATTACAAAACACATTCTTAAGTAAATCCTAATCAGAAAACATGGGTCTTGTCTACTCCGGACAAATTGCTGCCACATCTCATCATCTAACCATTAACACTGTTCTGTGGGGTTCTCCTCAAGCGTGCCAAATCTGTACTTTAAAAAAACACTTGTTGTTTTCAAAGGAAGGGAAAATCACAATGATAACCAATATTCTAAAACTATTCATTAAAATCATAGCTATATATCAAGCATAGTTCCATGATGAGCTGTCTTAATTTTAGTATATTCATAAAAACTTCAGTGTCCTAACCATCATTGAAAAATGAGGAAGTCATCTTGTTGTTGGTGATGATAAAAGAATGATACAATGAAGATCATTTTTTAAAATCTCATTGGGGCAGTTTCACAAACATATTACAGAGATGTCAAAAGTAAAACAAAATGAAGTAAAATTTATTGTAGTGTATCTTAAATTCGAAGGAAAATAAATGTCTCTAGGTCAATAAAATCATACAACAATTAAAGCGCAAGTGGTAAAAGTATTCACTGTATAATGTAAATTAAAAATAACGAGATATTACCTACTGTATAAGGTACATGGCTGTCGTTCTTCTTCGATGGTTTTATATAGAGCAAGAGAAGACTTCGGAACTGGTGCGTCGATTGTTAACGAGCACCGGTGCGTCGTCCACTGTTAGTGAGGAGCAGCGGTGCGACGTCCACTGTTAGCAAGGAGCAGCGGTGCGTCGTCTAGTGTTAGCGAGGAGCAGCAGAGCGTAGTAAAGCGTTAACGAGTAGAAGCGGTACGTCATCAGCTGTTAACTAGAAGCAATGGTGCATCGAGTGTTAACGAGAGGAGGGGTGCGCCGTCTCTGTCTTCTTGAAATAGCAGACGACAGAATTGAATGATGGATGCCTTGTAATCTTGCCAGTTTGCCCTACTGAGTCTCTCTTTAATTTAGAGCTACGATTTTCGTAAGGGTTAAAAAAGAGCTGACATAGAAAAGGATTAATTAAAATTATAAAAAAGACCCCATTTCAAACTTAAGTTTGCAAAAATTTTATAAATGACCCCGTTTCATTTATCTACGTCGGCTCTTTTTAGAACCGCTATAGAAAAAACTTTTTATTTATATTAAGCACCCACTAAAGTGATTCGAAACTTTCATTATTTATAAATATTACCCCGCACTTATTTACTATATCGGTTCTAAATGAACCCATATTAAAAGCTAGTTATAGAATGTGTCTTTTGCACTAGTGATAGGACCAAAAAGTAAACTATGTTTTGATACGACCAATTATGTGTGTTGGACAAATATACCCTTGTTGTTATTGAAATGTTTTAATTCATAAAGAATAATAAAAAATAATAAAAAATCGTAAAAAATACTAAAATATTAATAAAAATATTTCAATAATAAAAATTAATTTTTTAAAAAAAAATTAAAAAGAAAATTTAAAAAGAAAATAAAAAACGCAACAAAAAAAATCACCGCCGCCACTACCGCCCCAGCACCACACCCTCCGGTCACTAGCACAAAAAATGCCACATCTATTACGATTGCCAATTATATGGCAAAATCAAGGAAAATTTTGGCATTCTGAAACAGTAATATGCCATTTTTTTGGCATTTTCAGAAAAAATGGAATTTTTTACACCGGTCGGAGGTGGTGGTGCAGGGAGGCAGTACAAGCGGTGGGAAAGGCATCCAATTTGAAAAATAAAAAAAATAAAAAAATATTTTTTTAAAAAAAAAACTAAAAAACGCTAAAAAACCCTGCCGCCCCAGCACCACCATCTCCGAAAACTGGGGGAAAAAATTCCACATGCATTAGGAATGCCATATTTATAGCAGATTCAATGAAAATTTTGGCATTCTCAAAGAGTAATATGCCATATTTTTGGAATTTTCAGAAAAATTGGCATTTTTTTACACCAGTTGGAGGTGGTGGTGCAGGGAGGCAGTACAGGCGATGGGAAAGACATCCATTTTTTATGGAGTTTTACTATTTTTTAATATTTTTTTATTTTATAAATATTTTATTAATTTTATATTATTTTTATACGTTTTTAAAAAAACGGATTTTTTATGAATTAGACATTAAATTACTACCTCCGTCCCAAAAAGGTTCGCCAAATTGACTTTTCTTGGTCAATGATGGCGAACTTTGGACAGATTTTAGGTATTATATTTATATATAATTTATAAATTTTTTACTTTTCTGAAAATATTTTGAATAAAGAATATTTTGATATAATTTTCATATTCTAAATAATTTCATATTAAAAGATATCATTGATTAAAGTTGATTGTCATTGACCATGAAAAGTTAATTTGGCGAACCTTTTCGGGACGGAGGGAGTATGACTTTTGACTACCTTTTAATAATGGAATGAAAAAATAGGTATGTTTCCAATTGGAGTGATATGATCCTATTTTGGAATAAAAACATAACAAGTCCTATTTTGGATTTTTGCCATAGTTTTAGAGCCCGTTTGGTAACATCATAATTGGTTGAATTGGCTGATTCTGCTGAAATTTATGAAGTTCTGGTTGAAGTGGCTGTATTGGCTGATTCTGCTGATTCTTGAAAAAGTTATATTTAAAATATTTGTTATTAATAAATAAAATAAAAAAATTATATGAAGAAATAGCTAAAATGATCCTCTACAGTAACTTCAGTCAATACAGCCCGAAAAGTAACTTTAACCTTACTTTTTCAGCTTATTACACAATTCAGCCGCGAGATCAGAAGTTACGTGTTTGGTGAAAAAGCTGGCTGATAAGCCTGATAAGCCGAAAAAGGGGTCACCAAACAGGCTCTTAGTCCTATTTAGATTTTAGAGTAATTTCTATTTCAAATATGTTCTTAAATAAGATGACTTTCTTGAGTATTCATAACTAAATATGAGTTGAAGAGGGTGGTGCCTTTCCCCCCTCTTTTAGTGTTATCCTACTAACCAATAAAATTATACGGAGTATATAAAAGAATTGTGCATTCATATACTAGTACAACTTTTTGGTAGAATATCAATTTTAGAATGTACTACGTATATTATTAAACTTGAAAGGGATGGTTATTTTTGGGAAGAGTTTTTTCCACTTTTGATCCCCGACTTTAGTGGTTGGGACTATTTTAGTCCCCGTCTTTTGTTTTTCCCAGATTTGGTGCACAAGTATTGAATATTTCCCAGTTTTGGTCCTCCGATTGATTTTTCCGGCCAACTGCGTAGTAAAGATACACAGGTGTGATACAACAATAGTAAGGATTACATATATCTATCAAGTTTATCCTTTTAAAAAGAGTAAAGACCATCATAGCATTTCATACAAACTGAAGGAAAGGCAGTAGGTTTTGGGATTAATAGCTAATAACGGGGATGGATGTGAGTAGAAGGAAAGGACTGTTTTGTATAGGTGGCCGGAAAAATCAACCGGAGGATCAAAACTGGGAATTATTCCATAGTTGTGCACCAAATCTGGGAAAAACAAAAGGCGGAGACTAAAATTGTCCAGGCCACTAAAGTCAGGGGACCAAAAGTGGAAAAAACTCTTTTTGGGAAGGTGAAAGTGGTGGGCAGTTTTCTGTCAAGAGTTGCTATAGAAGATTGATTAGGGAATGGTAGGCCAAGGTTGGTGTGGTTGTATGAAGGTTTGGAGATGATGGGATGTCTACCACTGGTAGCAACCTTCGTAGCAGGGGAGTGGAGCAATATCAGGTATGTACTATTTGCAACAATGAGGAGGAGAGTACTGATCATGTTTTAAGAGTTGCTCCAAAGCAAAGAAAATTTGGCAGCATATGGGACAACGATTTTGTAGGGGTGAGAACTGTTTTGAAGACTGGGTCAAGTCTTTTTACGAAGGGATGGATGAAGGAGGATGTTGTCGTTGGATCATGGGCATGTGGAGCATTTGGAAGAGGAGAAATGATGTGGTGTGGAAGAATATCCAGCGAGGTGAGATAAGTGTTGTAAGTGTGCAGATGTGACGTACCAGGGATTCAAAGAGGTACAAATTAAATGCACTAGTAAGAGGAGGCAGACATATATTGCGGTAGTAGCACGTTGGGCTAGACTGAAGCCTAGGGATGGACCCGGGCGGGCTTTTTTTGCAAAATGTTGGGCCCGGAACCGGCCCGGGTTGATACCGGATCCGGGCCTAACCGGGCTGGGCCGGACCGGGCCCGGGTCAAGTTCAATTTTTTTTTTGGGTTTCTAATCAACACCCGACCCCCCCCCCCTCACCCCCATCCCCCAAACCCCCCCAAAACACCCAACCCTAACCTAGAAAAGCAAAAAAAAATTGAAAAAACAAAAAAAAAATGAACCGGGCCTGGCCCGAACCACCCGGGCCGGTTCACCAAAAGTTGGGCCCGAGCCCAGCCCGCCCGACCCACCCAAATGGACTAAAAGCCTGGAACCGACCAACCGGTCCCGGTCCGGGCCCAAACAGTAACGGGCCGGGCCGGTTCCAGGTCGGGCCGGCCCAATTTAGTCCATCCCTACCGAAGCCAGGCTGTGTAAAAATTAATGTGGATGCGATGGTTAATTCGAGGCAAGGAATCCGTTCTTCGGGGATGCTAGCACACGATGAAAATGCTGAGTTTCTACCGAGAAGAAGTGGAATAAAATATGCTGAGTGGACAACCAAGGAGTAAGAAGCCGAAGGGCTTCAAGCAGCAATATTATGGGCTATCCAAGTGGGCTGGCTACAAGTTGAAATAGAGACGGATGCTTTGACTGTGGTTCAAGGAATAGGTGATCAATATGGGATTCCTCCTATCATGAATTCATGAGTTAGTATTGATGGATATCAAATTCTTATTTTCTCGATACGAGAATTTTAAAGTTATTTTTTGTAAGCGTTCTGCAAACCGTGTTGCTCACACACTTGCTAAAACAACCGGTTCAAGATCAAAGGCTTGGGTGGAGTACGAGTCCATTCCTCATTGTATCGCAAGCCAAGCGGCTAATGAGATGATTGAGTGATGAAGTTTTAGTTTACCATCAAAAAAAAATTAAAGGGTGCGAATTAGGCAACTTAACATGTAATAATATCTCACATTTTACACTCACCTCTGATACAATAAAAAAGAGTTGGCAGATCCTAAGAACATGAAAGTGAGATGTGTTAAATACGGAGTATATATAAAACAGGCACTGCAAACTTAGAGGGTACTGGAGTAAATTACCTATGGCAGAGTGTAAGTGTACTAGTGTAGTATAGCCGGTTGGGATATCTAAAGGTACTTGTGAATCCTCTAGAACACAAATAAAGAACTCATAAAAACAAAACTGCAAGTTTTTTCCCAGGTTTCCACAATGATCCTTCAGCAGGTTAAATGAATATATGTATGCATTTTAGATTTCTGCAACTCTTCTAGAGACAGAAATCCAAAATATGTCCACATACATCCAAGTTCTAGTAAGAGTATTAACTGCACATCTAAATATTTAACTAACACCCTTATAAAAATTAACACACAACAAAAACATATTGCTTTCGACGAACAAAATCTTTCATGATAGCATGAACTTCTTCCTTTACAACAACAGACATTCGCTTCGAGTCCTCCCAGAACAGTCCTCATATTTTCTAGCAAAATAACTAGCAGAGTAGCAGACTCAAAAGCATCCTGTAAACGGGGAAAATAGTAAACTCCAATAACAAAGCGAAACAAAAGTTGAAAGAACATGGCATGTTTTGTATTGATGATATTAAAAAAGTATTGATCTGTGAACATAAAATACTGAAAGTTCTGCAAAGTAAAGCCTTTGGGTAAATTATTCCTCCACCCGCCTCTTAATGTAGGATACATTTGGGATTGACATGTGCTTTTAAACGAAGGAGATATCTGTTGTTTAACTATTTTAGCGTCATAAAAAGAACAAAAGTAATGTGGGCCCCACATAGAGGAAAATGGTGAACTAAAAGAAAAAAGGACAAAACCGAAATCAAAACGTTAGTGATACTTAAATTAGTAAAATGAACTTAATTTTAGGATGAACCTAAAACAAGTCATGTGAGAGGATGGGACAAAGGAGGAGCATACGGGTGTTGTGGATGGAGATGTATTTTGGTAATGAGGTGCCAGACTTCTTATTTATTAAGTGTCCATTGATTTTATTTCACAAAACTCAATGTTGAAATGTTGTGATATGGGCACTTGGAATTCAAAACTGAATTATTGTTGTAAGTTTTCAATCTGCACGGTTCTTCTATTTTAGCATTTAAAAAACATAGTATCGCGGTTTGAAGGAGACAACACTACCGAACTGGCTTTGGTAAAGAATATAGATGCTTTGATGAGCGGAGTTTAGTCTCGAGGATGACTCCTCGTAAAATGGCCTGGCATCCTTTCGATCCTGTTCAGATTCTGAACTGACTCCCACAGCTTAATCTGTCATAACATAATTGATACTTTATTATCATTACATCACCATGAGAAAAAATCTCAGTTTTTCCAGCATGAGAGTGTGATGATATGAAAAACCAATAACTTGTGCAAAGTGCAAACAAGTTAGGAATATAAACATGAGGAACGATACATTAAATATGAACATTCTAGGAATATATTCATGTGGGGCAGGCATACATTCATTGACCCAATGAATGTCTGGCACATAGCAATGTCTCCCTTAAGTGTTCACATTTAATGTCTACTATTCATGAAAAAATACCTGATCTGTGACATTTTCTTGAATAGGTGGTATATTCTCGGCAACCCTTGATTGTGCATTCTGTTAAAGGAAAGAAACTATCAGTGCAATGTCATACAAAGGAACAGATTTTCGGTAATATTAGATTTTAATTTATTCTTACATTCAAACTAAAATTGCTAGCTTCATTATGAAAACACATTGTATTAAACAGAATGTGAAAAAAATCTTAAATTTGTTTGGTGGGGGATTTGTTTCCATCATTTCCAATGGAGCCAAAGAGTCACCATTTAAAGCAAAATGGCTCATTAAACTATCTGTGCTTCTTTGTTACGAAACAACACTCAGTTCATGCAATTTCCAATGCGATTTTCAGCATAGGACATCCGAAAACAGTCTCTCCATGCTTTAGTACAGGGGTAAGGCTGCGTGCATCCGACCCTCCCTTACCCCACCGTAGGTGGCAGCCTTTGCGGCACTAGGATAATGTTGTTTTTGTTATTGTTGTTGTTTCTTGGGAGATTTAGTAGGAGAGGGAAACTATTTAATTTATTAATTTTTCATCACATTTACATGAGTTGGGAAGAAGGTGAAGATGAAAAATAACACATGATTGAACTCAAGATATACTACTTCATCTTCATAACTTGTGAAAGTATATGTTGTCAAAGGAGGCTTGGATGGAGTACTTCATCTCCATGATTGAACTCCAGGTGAAGATGGAGTACTTCATGATTGAACTCCAGGTGAAGATGGAGTAATTCATCTCCAGATGAAAAATATATTAATACATCAATAAATAAAATGTAGTCAAAGTAGAACATGTGAATAGTGTAAAATTTCACATGTTGCACTTATTTAAGAACGGAGGTAGTATACAAAATAGACATTGGGGTAAAAATATTATATCCATTGGTACTGTCTATTTTTCTGGTGGTGCTGAGTGGAAATGCAAAGGGTAGACACTGTCAAATAGCAGGTCTGTCAAAAATATCATCTCACAAATGCATTGTCAAATCAATCATTCTTGTTGTACTCACTCTTACACCCACCTTATACTCACCATGTCTGTGAAGGTTTTTTGTTATCTATGAATCCGGTTCAGACAAAATGTCTTATTTTGTGTGTAAAATTTGCACAAACATGGTGGGTATAAAAGTGGGTATAAGGGTGGGTACAAACAGCATTTTTGTTGTCAAATAGCTCTGTCTAATTTCAGCAGGTCTGTCAAATAGCATGACTCAGCAAATATAATTTTCTATCGACACTTTTGGTGGTAATTGAAGAGGCTGCAATCCAAAAAATATCCATCGAATTTCAAAACTGCACCGCTGAAAAAAGCCCAGGGATATCCCTGACCCAAACAATAAACTTGTGTTTCGTATCAGAACACCCAGGGAGGCCAAAGATATATCCGCAAGTCTGTATCTTCTTTAAAATTTGAAGCATTCAGGTTTTTTTTGACTCGCTCTTTTTAATTTGATTATAAACAAAGGCATATTGTAATTTGATGTTAAATTAAATGGATAAACTATATGAAGAAGCTACACGATATGAACAAACAATCATAAGTAATTTCAATGACATTTACTTTAACCCTAAGTGTAATATGAACCTTCATTTTCAGAAGTTCAATTTTGACGAACATTCCTCAGAGTATTGATTCCAATTTCATTTTATCCATAATTAGTTTTGCTTCCGATTTTTTCTATTATTGGCTATATTTTTATTATCTATTTAGTTTTGCTTCTGATTTTTACTGTCTACGCTGGTTCTAAACATTGTACGACTTGAGATTATTGCTTTTAATGGCAAGGTATCACTAATATTTCTTTCATCTGCACTTTTAGGTTATGGTTTTGAAGAAGATCGGTAGAAGAAAAGTAATACTAACGAGTAAACTGTGGCTGGTTATAAGTAGTACTTCATAGGAAAAGTAATTTTTTAAACACACGATTGCATTGGAGCGGAAATATTATTTTAAATGTCTGTGTCCACATTAGCTTCACATACTATTTGCATAAGTGACATGTCCATTTTTAATGAGGTACAATCCACATCCCCGTTGGGGATGCTCTTAGAGCCTTTGATCTGTCAAAAAATTATTCGCTTATATACACATTTATTTCTTAGAAACATACTTCCTCTGCCCAATAACAAAGTTCAGTCTCGAGTAGCTTATAAGGAGAAGTCTGAGAAGTCTGTAAAATGAAAAGATAAAGGCAAAAATATAATATTGTAGGTTTAGACAAGCTTATAAAGATACAACAACAACAACATCCAAGCCTTATTCCCAAAAGATTTTGGGGTCAGCTAACATGAATCGATCCATGATATCAGAACCAAAAAGAGAAGAAAGACATGAAAAATAAAAAGATAAAGTAAGAATGTAAGATAAAATGGAAAGGATAAAGATAAATATGGAATGATATAAAGATTAGACAAGCTTATAAGATAAGTAAGACAAGCTTATAAAGATAAGTAGCTTAAATGAAAAGATAGAGGGTGAAATATAATATACTGAGCCAAAGATGAGATAGGAGAAAGTAGTTGAAATGATGGAGAGAAAATGTAAAGTATATGGAATGATATTTAAATGGAAAAGGTTTACTCAAAAAAAAGAGTATTTGTGAAGATTAACTTCCATGTAAGGAATAAGTGAAGTTTCTGCAGGATGGAGAGAATGTATATTCTGCTGATAAGAGATGGGAAAGTGCCAGAGGTTAAGAAAACCCTAGGTATTTACTACTCCCTCAGTCCCATTTTGTAAGATACTTTTCCTATTCACTTGGTCAACACAAATCACTCTTAATCTCTTTCTTTTTCTATCAATCAAATTTAATTCTGGTTTTTGCAACTTTGAAAAGTTTTTAATGTAGTTTCTGAATATGTAATTCTTTTTCTCTAAGAATAATTTGAGTGTGGACAGGGATCCGTTTGCTTTATTGTCGGTCAAACATCGTAAGCCGTAAAGTGTCTTACAATTCGGGCAACTCAAACTACAAGAAAAATGAGATAACTCAGACTACCTCCCCTGCAACATATATGGCAATATGTCAAGAAAATTTTGAAAATGATCATATCCCTTGTTTCATTTAATATTTTTACTTTAATGCTTTTCAGGAAAAGTGAAGGAAAAGTAACACAAGAGGAACAAATGCCAGCAAAATCCATACCTCCGCATTGGTTATGTACTCCCTGATGACATACCAAAGCTGTGCATTAGGAACCATTAATCGTAACAGAAGTTAGTCATTATTCCCTCCAATTTTGAATATATTTCGTCCTGTGCTAGTAGGCTGTGAGCACGATCCCCAGCTTTAAAGGTGTGCACTTTACCATCCAACTCAATTGAACTCCATCCAGGATCTTTCCCTACATCTTTACTCTTCATCACAGTTCTTATTCTATCGACATCACTCCATCTCCCAACACCGGCATAAACATTTGAAAGAAAGACATAGCTCCCGGGATGCTTTGGCGCAAGCTTTAGGAGTTTATCTGTGGCAAATTGTGCCATTTCAATGTTCTTATGAGACCTGCAAGCACAAAAAAGCGCCCCCCATACAATGTGGTCAGGATCCATAGGCATGCTCTCAATAAATCTCAAAGCCTCATCCAGCTGGCCAGCCCTGCCAAATAGATCAACTATCACGGCATAATGTTTCATGCTGGGCATCACTGAGTACTTGTTAGCTCTCATGCTATTAAAAATCTTAAGACCCTGATCAACCCTTCCGGCATGTGAGCAAGCAGTTAGAACTGCTAGCAAGGCAGCCTCATCAGGTATGATTCCTGACAAGTTCATTGTTTCAAAGCACTCAATCGCCTTATCAACACATCCATGGATTGCTAAACCCCATATCATAGAACCCCAAGTGCATATATCTTTCACTTTCATTCCTTTAAACACCCGACTAGCAGACTCGACATCCCCAGATTTTGCATACATATCCAACAAAGCATTTCCTGCAGCAGTATTCAACTTGAACCCACCATTCAACATGTCATTATGAATTTTTATCCCTGCTTCAAGTGCCCCCATTTTCGCACACGCAGAGAGAGCAGAAACGACAGTCAAATTATTTGGCTTGACACCTTTATCCAGCATCATAAAGAACAACTGAAGAGCCTTCTCATGAAGCCCATTGTGCATCAACCCATAAATCACAGTAGTCCATGAAACCACGTTCTTCTCCTCCATCCCATCAAAAAGCTCGAGTGCCTTGTCGGGTTCCCTATTTCTCATCAAGCCATCTATCAAGCTATTCCAAGACCCAATGTTCCTCTCTGGCATTGATTCGAACAATTCAACTGCCCTTCTTACCCTCCCACCCTTGCAACACCCATTAATTGCCACATTCCATAAGAGCACACTCTCAGCCTTATTCCTCTCAAGACTTTCGTCGAACAGCTGCAAGGCAGGATCCAACAACCCAATTTTGGCATACATGTCAACCATAGAAACCCTCACAAACAAGTCAGAATCAAGGCCCATTTTGAATATTCCACAATGAACTACAGCCCCCCACTCTCTTTTACCCAAACCCATAACCGACTTCAGCACAAATGGAAGCGTTAGCCGGTCAGGTTGCACACTAAGTGTTAACATGAGCTTAAAATGCCTGATGGAGCTCTCGAAACACGAATTTTTGCAAAGTCCCCTGATAATTGCATTAAAAAGGAACAAGTTCTGATCACAAGATTGGAAAACTGAGAGGGCATAATTGACGGAGCCATGCTCACAAGAGACGGAGATAAGCTGGGTGGTAATTCTTGAATCAGCACTGTGGCAGATGCGGCGGAGGACTTGGGCATGGATGGATTTGAGCTTAAGGGTGGATTCGGATGAATGGATTAGAGATATGAAATGAGTTTCGCCAAGATTTTGAGGATTGCAGTGAGAAAATATGGGATTTAGAGGTTGTTGTGTGGTAAAAGTGGAGGAGGTTCTAGATGGAATATAATGTTTCTTCAAATTTGTAACAACTTTCATTGTGTGTGTCATATACCCTATCTATTCCAATTGTGTTCTAGTGTGGTCTGCATTTGTGGATCTTCCTTTGTTCCACATGCCTGTTGTGCATGATTTGTTCTTGTTGTTCACACCCACCTGAAAGAAAAAAAAGGAAAACAAGAAAAAATTATCTACGGTGCCTTATTACAGGTTCCTTTTTCTTTTTTCCTATTTAAAAAAAAACTCACAAGTTAAACCATTAAAGACTTATTTGTTATTTTACCAATCTTATCCTGTTAGAGTTCCAAAAACTCACTTCAATATCATTAACTTCCTGCCTGAATGCTTGTAATGTGCCTCAATCAACATAGAATTACTACTTGGCTAATTTAGGCTTCCATATTAATGTGCTATAGAGATTTGAAATCTTTTCTTTTAAGTCTCAACAGCATAACTGGGCTTCCAACAATCCCCAATAAAAAGTGAAAGAAGATAGAAGGAAGCCGTGTTAGGAGATGTGGGCAATGCTGGAGAGATATCATCTGATTTAGTACTTTGGCTGAATTCCATACGTCTAAATTATGCAGAATAACTCTTATCTGAAGTCGGTCAAAATTAAATCCCAAGGAATGAATCACACAGAAAATGAGAGCACAAAGCTATGGAGAAAACCCCAAAACACATAAGATGATCAGGCAAATCTGTACAGGTTGATGGATTTTGGAGTTTTTCGCACAGAACTCATTGGAAGCACATGCATTTGCTTGCAGCATCCGAATGTCAAATTCAAAATTTTAATTATTGTTCTTCAAGTGATCATGTGACTTGCAGATTGGCTAAAACAGACAAACAAGAGATGAAACATAAACATGATTCTTATTTGTACCAATAGTTACAAACATTGGATTAAATGAAAAATTCAAAAGCCTGGGAGGAAAACATAGATACAAAAGACTGCAACAAAACAATGCAGCAGAGTATGAATGAGTATGGTTTCCTCTTACAGGGTGGGCAGGTTTTCAGGCCCGCCTCAAGGTGAAGCGTACAGAGAAGGTTTCGAGGTTTAAGTTTTTTTTTCAAGATAAGAGGCTTACGCCTCAAAAGTCAATGGGTACGTCCTAAGGCACTCCTTGAGGCGGTTTTCAGAGGCAGTTTTCCTTTCTTTCTATCTTTTTAATGTGGTTGTAACTTAAAAACTAAAAAAAGGTCTAGTTTTCTTTCATTCAATAAAAGGCCCAGTGCTTTTTATTTAAATTAATAAACGGGCCACACATTAAACATTTATCCACACTAAACCCTAACAAGTCTTGTTTCATTAACAAAATCATTTACACCCTATTATATACTTTCTATTAAGAACTCTCAGTGTCATTAATTTTTTTTCGGACTTATGCACAAAGAAGTTCTCTTACTGCTGCACAAAGAAGTCGACAAAGAATCAGATGAATAACCAAGGAAAGAATAAGGAAAATAAACAAGTATGGAGGTAAATGATGATGATGATGATGACGACGATGAAGAAGAAGAATTTAAGGATCTTGATAATGATGATGGAAGGGGTGGTGGTGATAAGGCTATAAGCAGGGGGCGTAACCAGGACAGAAGTTCAGGGGGCGATTGTAAACTAAAACACTATGTAAAAATTTTAAATGAGTAAAATGTTTGAACATAGTGATAAAAATCCGTTTAAATTCACAACAATATTTTTAAGCAGTACATACAAAAAGATAGTCTAATTTAATCTCTTTTCTCAAATGGCCAATGACTTGTATTTTTTCCTTTTTCCGGAATCCAGCTCAATTTCAAGCACATCAGAAACAAATTCTTCTTTCAACAGGAGAAATATTTGGAGTTGTTTTTGCCTTTTTAGAAGAAGATCTAGGAAGTAGATTTGGGTAGCCATACCTACTTAAATTGACAAAAATTTACAAAATCATCAATATATTATTTTGAATAAAAAATTCAATATTACTAGTAATACGTTAAGAAATTCACAATCCTAATTTTCAATTTCACTAATCAAATCACACAATGACACAAATTATTTACATATTCAAAAAAACTTAGCAAAAATTCAAATTTTTCGTTTTGCAAATTCATACTCCGTATTAGACTATTAGTGAGGCACTTGAATAGTGGAACACTAAAATGGTCAAATAAAAAAAAGAATAAAAATTTAAGTAGTTACGACTTACCTAAGGCGATTAGGAGTCAGCAAAAGCAGAAGGTTCAGAAGTCCAGTCTCCACAAGCATAGTAGAAGGAAGAGTAGCAGGCAGCGGAGGCAGGGGGCGGGGTGGTGGTTGGCTGAGCGTCTCAGCGACTGAGCATCTCTAGCTCTCTGCATCATATGCGTCTTTGCAACCTTGCGACTCGGAGTCACGGGCTCGCCGATTTCCGATGAGCGGCCCGCGGCCGTGCGGAGGGATAGGCGGACAGCGGGAACTTTTTCTTCCTTTCATTTGGTCTCATGGTCTGGATTAAGAATTTTTTTTAGTAAAAGGACTGGATTAAGATTTAGAAATTGGGAATTACGTAGTATTTCCAAATCAAATTGTTAATAAATTATATGATTAAAGAATAACTTTTCGAATACAGAATAAACTATTTAAACATTTTCTCAAATAAACTGGTCAAACCGGGCGAGCCATTTTTTTCTAGGGTTGCCGACTCAAACGACGCTAGCTTTTTGTCCGGCGGTGCTTCGCTCAGGCGAGTACGGCGTCGAGAAGGTCTTTGTTATTAGCTGCAAGAGGAGATCACATGGAGGATTTTGGTAGGGAAGAGTCAATGAGCATCTTATCGTGGAATTGTAGAGGACTGTACAAGAAGATGACGATTGGGGTAGAGAAAGAAGAATTGGATCTAGATGAAGCTGATGCTGAGAGTGTGGCGGATGAGCGGCGTGTGCGTCCCCCTCCTGGGCCGCTTCCATGGAGTGCAAGCAAATCTAGGGTTTGGAAGAAGATGAGTGAACTCTATTTTAATTGTGTTTTATTCAATTTGTGTTTTTCTGTCGAATTGCATGTTATTTTGGACGTGTTCTTTTTTCCTAGCAGAGAAATTCTTAAATTTAGGTTATGTGATGACGAGTCTGGTGTGCCAGTCATTGGCTCAGTTATGCCCATTACAGGATCAGCGAATGTTATTGCTTCTACAGAGGTGATATATTCTCGGTCTGGTTTGAGGGCGGACGGCAGACATAAGACTTTTTATCATTTTGTTTACTCCTTTTTCCTTGATTCTATTATCAACCATGTGACGAACGTTATTTTGATTTAAATATTAGTTGAATTTGATGATCAAAACTAAATTATATGATTGAAAAAATAATACTCGGTAACTTAACATTTAATGCTGATATATAATCAAAATATCAAATATCATCATACATTTATAATAATTCTACATACTTCGTTTCTAATCACTATACTTTATATTAATATTAATCATTTAATCTGTGACTGTATAATATTTTTTTTAAAGAACATATATTAGCAATATATATTACATGGATCATTTTGTTATTTATCTTAATACACAACTGATGTATAAAATGTGGAGAAATATTTGTTACTACTTATGAGGTATGACTCAAAGTAATTCGTATGTGTGTAATATCACACTTTAAACCTATTGATTATTTCTTCAATCAATGGTTATAATACTATAGTGTAGAGAATATATTGTTATGAAAAAAGCACAAATGTGAGTACATTAAGGTTTCGTTCAATAATAACGAAATTAGTTGAATCAATTGAATCTGTTGAAAATTCATAAAATGTTACCTCAAGAAACTCAATTGATCGAATCTGCTGAATTATGAAAAACAAAATAAATTTTATTAGTTGATTAAAAAATATATATAAATAAAAATAGTTAAAATGATTCTTCACAGTTACTTCGTCGATTCAGGCAGAAAAGTAATTTCAGCATTACTTATTTTGATTATTACTCATTTCAACACGCAAAATCAAAAGCTACATGTTGATAAAAAAATATATATAAGTTTGATAAACTAAAATATAGGTTACCAAAAGAGATAAATATATGGTAATTATTGAGTCTTGAAATTATGTGCTTTATTACTAAACATGTAAATTTTGTATTTTAAATTAAATGATATAATTTATATTTTGTAACTTGATGGCTATAGATAATAATTTGGTAACCGTAAATAAAAGAGAAAAAGGTCAAATAAGACCTTCTACTATTATGAAATAGTCACATAAGGCCATGTACTCAATAAAGTGTCATATAAATACCTCTACTTGTAAAAACCAATCAAATGAGTCCTAATGACCTATTTAACACCTCTTAATCCCGGTTTCAACGTACTTTTGACCATCTTTTTAGAATACATTATACAGCATATGTCGAATATTTAACTAAGATTGGTTGAAATACAAGTCACAAAAATCGACATGTAACCTAAAATCGGGATTGGGAGGTGTTAAATAAGCCGTTAGGACCCATTTGATTGATTTATACAAGTAGAGGTACTTATATGACACTTTATTGAGTACATGACCTTATGTGACTATTTGTAGAAGACCTTATTTGACCCTTTTCTCTAAATAAAATGACCCTTATATACATACTTCGTATAATACTGGTGGATAGTGTACCCGGGGGGTAGCTTATCCGAGGGGTTATTACGGGGAATGACTAGAGAGAAGTCAGAGCAAGTAAGTAGAGAGAGAGAGAGTATATGAGAAATGTATTCAGTGTTTTCAGCGTGGTTTACAACGGGGAAATGGGGTGCTATTTATAGTAGCAATAAATGCCAGACAGGGACACGTGTCAAGCATCCATTGACCGAGGGGTCACCTCAACTGGTTGGCGCTGGAAACCGCATGTGGCCGCATTTAATGCGGCTGTTGGATGTGACGTCGTACTTGGTACGGTGATCTATACGCATGTGGAGCCGAGGGGTGTGCCTGTTGTGAAGCCGTGGGCTTCTGAAGGAGTGAGCCCGAAGGCATTTATCATGTAGTATGAGGAGCATAAACCGGGAGCATCTCGGGGTAAGTGAACCCTGGGGCTCCTCTTGATGAAGTGGAGTGAAGTAAGAAGCCCGGGGGCTTGTTTCTTGGTTGATGAAGGAGTGGTCTGCTGAAGACAGTCGGGAGCTCCCAGAATATAGCCGTTGTAAATATAGCCATTGGAATACCTAACGTCAAAAATATTGTCGTTGGGGGGGGGGGGGGCTTCCACGTGGTGCGTGCTCGTTGGCTGCCCGTGGGAGGGCGTCACTGATTGGGCAGTTCGACGGTCCGTAATGATGGCTTTTCAACCGGAGGCCCGGTTTCCAGGCCCAAGCCCGAATCCAGGTGCCTATAAATACCCCAAGGCCAGGCCACTCTCCCCTTGTGCGATTTTTGTGTTAGCGGAGCTCTGCCAAAATTCCTAGAGAGAGAAACAGCTGCCTTCGATCAACCAAATCTTCCGAGGTCAGTTCTTCGCCCATCTGTTGTAGCATTAGTGAGTCGTAGTTGTGTGGCCTTAGGTTAAGCGTTTAACTGCCTTAGGGAGCCTCCTGCCTTAGAAACCCCTCATCCCTTAGCTGTTGAGGATGTCTTCGCAAAGTGACTCTCAAAACGTCTCGAGGGAGCCTCCGGTAGGAGTCGGAAGCTTCTCTGAAGCGGAGTCCTCGAGCGAACGCACCTCGGTTAACCAGGACTCTGTGGTAGCTGAGGAGGTACAAGCAAGCCTTCGGCTAGAACTGGAAGCGGAGGAGTTCGAGCAGGTGTGCGAGGACGTGGAGTTGGCACTTGCCTTTCAAGTGGTCGAGGATGAGGCCCAAAAGGAAAGCATGAGGGTCACCGTCGCTGTTCCTCCCCCTCGGAATGCAGAGGTCGGAAGCTCTCAGCCACTAAACCCGACGCCTATCAGGGTTGCCCCCGGGAGGAAGAGAAAGGCGAAGGCTGCCGGAAAGAAAAAACAGGCTGCCGTCGACGCCGGGCAACCAGTAGGAATTCCCGAAGGCTACTCCTACCTGAACACTGCTGCATTGGACGTGAAGACCCGAGCCACACGGGGAGAATACATTGCGACGCAGCTCCTGGTAGGGCCGTCGGCACTGGTAGTGGAGCCGGGGCCAGATGATGTTCTGCTATACGCTCCCGCCGGTTGTTTTGCCGTGCATCTGCTTTCGGTGGAGTTGGGCCTCCGATTCCCCCTCCATCCCTTCATGGTGGAGTACCTTCGGTATGTCAAGCTTGCTCCCTGTCAATTGACCCCGAACAGCCACTCCTACTTGGCTGGCTTCCTCTCCCTCTGCCGGAGCCGGGACGTGGAGCCTTCGCTGGACCAATTCTTCCTTTCTTTCAATCTGTGCTGGGGGGGGCACTCGAATGCCGGTGGCTTTGCCAACCTGCAACAGCTCCCAGAATTCAGGCTCTTCGATGATGTCCCTTCGTCCCACAAGGGATGGAAAGATAAGTTCTGCTACATTCGGATGGCGGAGAATCCCTTCCCGGCCCCACTTCGTGATAGCTTCCGCAGGCACGTCAAGGTAGGGAGCGCCGCCTTGGAGAAAAAAGGAAGGAAGCTCTCCAAGAAGCCCGAGGGGTCCGATAAGCATACCAAGATCAGGGCTGCTACCCTTCCAGACGATCTTTACAACTTGGGCTTTCGGCGGTATCGGCTGAAGGGGGAAAGCGACGAGAGATATCCCCCCGTCGATAGAGTTTATCAAAGCGCCGGAGGTAGTCAACTTGCCGAGGGCTCCCGTTTTATACTTAGAATATATTTTTCTCTCTCTCTTTTTTTGTGGTATTATCCTCCTAACCCTTCTGTATTTCCTTTGCTTTTCAGGACCAGACATGGACGCCCGGAATCTCTCCAAGTTGAAGAAGCAACTCGCAAATGAGAACAAGAAGAAGGACCCCTCGGTGCAACAGAGGGGGTTGGACGAGATCTTCCCGAGGGCGGGTACAAATGATGGGGCCCAGGAGAGCGTGCCCAGGGAAAAAACTGCCGCCGGCGACGACGCTGGTTCCAACGCCGAGGGCTCCCCTGCTGAGGCGTTGAAGAGGAAAAAGGCCGGGAAGGCCGTGGTGCCCCTGGAGGGAAAAAAGCAGAAGAAGGGGGGCCCGAGCCGAAAGGGCCCCCGGTTGTTATTGTGGAGGAGCATTCCTCCTCCGAGCCTCCGGCCCAAGCCCCAGGACTGGCATGGCCCCAAGATAATGTGCAGTTCTCCATTACTAAGGGGACTGCCATTATGCACGCAATGTTGAACCCGAGGGAGTTCCTGAGGGGGGCCACCCCCCTGACGGATAAATCTATGCTCTCTCGGCAAACCGATGACGCCCTCTGTTCCAAGATCCTTCAGGCTTCGGTTACTGTAAGTTCCCCTTTCCTTCTCCCCTTCTTTTTTTTTGTTCTCTTCCTCTTTTTTTTGCATTGTGGTTTTAACCTTCGGTGATTCGTGATCTCTTTTGTAGGCAAGCCTCGGCCTTGGTGAACTCATTCAGTGGATGGAGCGCTATGCCCTTCAGAAGCAGAAGGATGACGAGTCCTTGGTTGTGGTCCAAAGGCGGCTCCGGGAGGCAGAGG